TGTGTATAAGAGACAGGCCCAAGATGGGGCGGAGGAGGCCGGTGAACGCGCGGTCGGTATCGGGCGGCCCCCGCCGTCTCAGCCCAAACCTACCGAGCTCACGGCGGGGGGCTGTCGGGACTGCCCTCTCCTATTTAAAGGCGCTTCTCGGCGTCGTCTTGTTACTTTAAGCGTCTCAGCGCTGACGAACTGCTGTGGACTGATTCTAATATCATCGCAGTGTTACTTCTTTAGCAAATATATATGTTTAATTTTATGTTGCTGAAGGCTGTATCAGCGTTTACGAATTAATATTCCTCTGTGGTATTCCATGGGTAGTTTGGAGGAATGCAGTATTTTGGTGGGATTATCTTTAAATTTGGAAGTGTTGTGTGGAAGTTTGTTAGGATTTATTTATCTAATTTCCACATTTATCTTCCACAGTATGAGTGGGATCACTCAGTTCACAAAAGGAAGAGACTCCCCCCGGTGAAAAGGTCTCTGGTGTACTACCTGAAAGGTAGAGAGGTCAGGATGCAGAATGAGTCCAGCTATTACCGCCTGTTGCACGGATACGCAGCCCAGCAGCTTCCCAGCATCCTGAAAGAGAGAGAATTTCGACTCGGCACCCTTAATAAAGTGTTTGCCTCCCAGTGGCTGAACCACCGACAAGTGGTGTGTGGGACGAAATGCAACACAGTAAGTGCCACCTCTCCGTTTCTCTTCCCTCTGTTAATTGTTCCACCCTCACCCGCAAATGATGCTTACCGTAATCGAAGTGTGTAGACTGCCGAGGAAAGTATTAGGAACAGAGTCAGAATCGCCCAAAGTTAATTTTGAACGAAGGTAAGTCTTAAAGATGTTATGTTCTTATCTGAAAATACAGCACTGTGCAGGTGGCTGACCTCATGCAGCATCTGCCTCATCTGCACAGAGCGATTTACATCTGTTTGCAGGATGGAGACCAACAGTGGGGTTGGATCTTCCTTCTTGTTCTGCAAATGAAAGTTAATGAACAACAATAGCTTTGCTAAATGTTAACTGTCATGCCTGGCAGAAGTGGCTAGGAAGACTTTAATGCTATGCTCAGTCTTCTGAGGTTTGTTTTTATGTATGGTTCTGTGCTGATGATTTTGAAAAGTTTCTGCAAAACTAAAACTAAACTAGATATTTATCAAAGTAACTAGAAATGTTCCAAGCTTAAAAGTTAATTTCAGGTTTTCTGGAGTATCCTTTGCTTGTGGACTTCATGATTCTTACACTCTAAATCTGTTTCCGGTGTTCACATAACTTCTGCTGTGTATGTAGTCTTCAGACTCTTAAAGTGATGCTTTCAATCTGAAACATTATAGGGGAATATCAAAATAATGTTCTATGTGATTAATAAATGGAAGAAATAATATTTCTTATGTCATGTTCTCTCTGCTGGAGTTAGCCCAAGTTCATTGGGTGAGGTTGCAATGTCATGTTTGAAGTTCTGATTGAATTAGTGCAAAATCCCAAATTTGTTCATTGCAGGTTGATTGGTGCCACAGATACTAATCAAGTGTTGTAAGGAATGTAGATCAAGTGGGTCTTAAACTTCAAAATATATTAGCTGATGTGATTGTTTCTTTGTCAATAGTTTTTCTGTGCAGAAACTGCGCTCAGGGGTCTGACCTGCAAGGGACGAGGGTATTTTTTTTTTGGGTTTCAGATGTTCTGTTATTCATAGTTAGACAGCTTGGAAACTCATGCAGTACCTCTTAAGAAGCAAAGCCTAGCTGTATAAACAAAACAATCTTTTGACAGGAATAAGCCTGAGATGGAATCTTTCAGCCGCCTTTCTCCACATGTGTTCATCACCTCGGCTGGTCAGCAACCAGCGCTGTTTGTGGAACAGCTTACAGGAGACAAACTCCTGCTGAAACACAAGCTCTCAAAAATCTTGCTTACTCTAGCAAGATGACTGAGTGTTTTATAGAGCTGCAACAATTTTGCTGTGTTCTGTAACTTCTGTAGTTCCAGTGCTGCTGCAGCGAAGATAAATGGGCAAGTGCGTTGTTAACGCAACCTAGCAGAAAATTGTTTGGGACCAAACAATTGCAGAACTGAAGAGGGATTCAACCATATTGTTGTTGCCACTGCATACGCTGCAACGAAGTGTATGCTTCCACAGCTAGCCTTAACTTTACAGATGGAACTCATCTTTTATTAAGCAAAATACAGTGATTACAAAATAAGTCACTTCATCATTGTGGAAGGTTGTATATGAATTATGAATATTGTAATAGCTTTAGTTTGGTTGCTTTGTGTTCACATTTGAACAAGCAGAGTGTTAAACTCTACACTCTAATTACGAGATTTTTCTCTCTCATCTCCTGAGTAAGCCACCTAATAAAGCAGAATTCTTTTGCAGATTTTCATACACTGAAGTTGTGGCATTTAAGTTGGGAGTAAATCTAAAACAACTTGGTTGACTTTAATGGGGTTTGTTGTATTGGAGTTGCATGTAATTATTAAGTTAATGCAACAGAAAAATATAAACCATAGCAGTTATTAATCACAGCTTAAATGTGGCACTGAAAGCTTTTAACATTTAATTTATAAATTGCCCTTGGCCATGCTGTGCCAGAAGGATTCACTGTTTGTAATGACAACACAAGAATACACTTCTGTCAGAGGAGTAGGTTTGGTTTTAGTCATTTGACAGTACTAGTCACTATAAACACTGAAGGGAATATGGAGCGCTCTGTCAACTGCTCATTTTTAATGTCGATTATACCTTCTTTAAATATTTGGGGTAACTTTGTCCTTAAAAATATCCCTGGGTATAATTGTGTATATGAAATAACTTTATTGTTCTCAGGTGGATCCTGGTGTTCACAGTTAGCTGGCTGTAAATCAAATATTTGCGTTTGTTAAAGGTGCATGCTTTTTCTGAGAAATTCAGATTTACGGAATCTATACAAGCATTCAAGTTTCTAAAAATTCAAACACAATCACCAAAGGCAGGATTCATGTTTGCAGGAATTACCTAGATCTTATATGCAAGTGGGCTTCCTAGTGTTTTTCAGATTCAAATGAAGGAGCAGGCGAACCTCTAGAGTTGCAGACTCTAGAGTTGCAGACGTTTAATGTCACCACTGCATGCCTGTAATAAGCATCTTCAAGCTTCTTGGAGAAACGTTGAGTCTTATGCAGGAGACAAGCTTATGGCAAACAAAACCACTGAAAACAAGATTGCTTAAGTTTTCTTTTTATTTTTTTTACTGTATCAGAAAATGAGGAGGAATAAAGCATTTTCTAAAAATAAGTTCCAATAATAATTTTCCAGCTTCTTTTGTACCCTTAGTTCTGTGTATGTGTTTAGTACATAATTCTTTTATTAATTGTGAAGTTAGGGATGAAAAAATACAACTGCTGTAAATTATTCCCTAAATACAAGAAGCTTATTAGTTTCCAGTTGCTCCAGAGTATAATTACCTGGAATCTAATATTTTTTGTTTGCCTTTGGGTTTTTGGTTGTTTTTTCTTTTTTTTCCAGGTAGGACTCATTGATGTATTTTTGTTTTAAAACTTCCTTACTGAATGCTTTCTCCTGATTTACAGGTGGCATTTCAAGGCATGAATTGGGTTGGTTTCTGAACACTAGCTGTTACTTTTTCTCTCTTTGATAGATTCTTGTGTTGCTTGGATGCCCTGCTGTAAATCACCAGCTCTTGTTTCTTCTTAGAGGTTTTAAATTTGTTGAAGAGATCCCATGTCTGTTCTGTGCGTCCCATACAATGACAACCTACTCTTGTAGTCCTGGGGTTGTAGCGGTGAGAATACAATGCACAGTTACACTTCTATCTGTGAATATGGACTTGTTGCAGGGAAAATGACTTCCACTTGCTTTGCAAGTTAAAGTACATTCTGGCTTTCCACATGTAATAAAGAATCAACAAGACTGCTCATTTCTGATCCCGGGGAGGAATGAGAAGTCATGCTCCCGCAGTTTGTACCTCTGTCAAAGTCCACTGAACAGTGATCGAAAATCAGTGTAAATAAACATCTTATGTCTGTCACTGACACCTCCATTCACCTTTCTTTCAGTGTGGGTTGTGAGTAAATAGCCAGGTGTCTGGCTCAACAGTATTTGGTTTTCTCTCAACTGCAGGCAATACCCACGTCTTTAGAGTCTGGTAGTTTCTGTGCCAGGTATGATATGGATGGTAGAGATGCCCTTTAGCAGACAAAGTCTCTCACTTCTCCATCCTTTGCCATCTGTCAGCATGTGTTAACTGTATGCAGCCTCCTGAAATTAAACATGGAGGGCAGGACACAAAAACTGACAAATGTGATTTTGGAAGTGAACAAATTCAGTGACATCAAAGGTGTGCCCATTAGCTAGTACTGCTTCAGAGTTTCATAGCAGGATGGAGTGCCTGATTACATGATCTTGTCTCTGAAAATGTGAATTCAGAATCTGTCAAGTTGCTGTTAGTTTTTACCACTGCTCATTTCTCAGAGTGGTTTCTTATATTCCAGGTTGTTTTGCTTTGGATGCTTTCAAGGAGGAGGTATAAGGCCATTACCCACTTGCATCCCCTATACCACGCAACCTCTGAGTAGTTTTTTTGTGAAGATTAGTGCATAGCTGATGTACTTGCCTAGCTGCTGGTGATTTGGAAAAGAGAAACATTGCACTAATATTTAAAAAGGGTAGAAAGGAGGATCTTGGGGACTACCAACCTATCAGTCTCACCTCTGTGCCTAGAAAGATCATGGAAAAGATCCTCCTAGAAGCCATGCTAAGGCACATGGAGGATAAGGAGGTGCTTTGCAACAGCCAGCATGGCTCCACCAAAGGCAAGTCCTTCCTGACCAAACTAGTGGCCTTCTGTGATGGGGTGACTATATCAGTGGACAAAATAAGAGCTACTGATGTTGTCTGTCTAGACTTCTGTAAGGTCTTTAACACAGTCTCCCACCACGTTTCTCTTAAATTGGAGGGTCAGGGATTTGATGGGTGGACTGTTCAGTGGATGAGGAATTCGTTGGAAGGTCACATCCTCCAAGTAGTGGTCAGTGGCTCCAGAGGGGTATCACTGACAAGTGTCCCTCTGGGATCCTCAATATCAAGAACATAGACAGTGGGACAAATGTATTCTCGGCAAGTTTGCAGATGACACCAAGCTGAGTGGTGCTTTTTACAGCCCTGAGGGACAGGATGCCATTTAGAGGGGCCTGGACAAGCTTGAGAAGTAGGCCTGTGTAAATCTCATGAGGTTCAACAAGGCCAAGTGCAAGTCCTGCACCCGGGTCAGAGCAATCCCCAATATCAATACAGGCTGGGGGATGAAGGGATTGAGAGCAGCCCTGCTGAGAAGGACTTGGGGGTACTGGTGGATGAAAAGCTGGACATGAGCCAACGATGTGCACTTGCAGCCCAGAAAGCCAACTGCCGCAATTGAGAGACGGGACACAGCTTGATGCAAGCAGAGTCAGAGAGTTTATTGCAGAAATCATTAATTTATATAGAAAGTTAGAAGAATTTGGTTACTATACTACAACATTCTTTATCAATGCTCATTGATTGGTAGTTAATTAAAGCTTTAACAACAGGACTGTTTACGACTAAGTTATTTTTGCAGACACTAAGTTGTTTTTCAGAGACACTATATTTTCTTCTTCTCTGGCGCCACATGACTCATAGGGGCAGTAACTCTCCCCCA